GAAGCCTTGGGCGAAACCTGCACCTCCTGCGCCTGCATTGTTGGGAACTTCTTCGTCAAAGTCAGAGTCTGATGTTGCGGTGCTGCCTGTGAAGCTGTTGTAGGTGCGTGCGGCGTCGTAATCGCGACGGCGTGTGGGGTCCGATAACGTGTAGTAGGCGTCGTTGATCTGTTGGAAGCGTTTCGTGCGACTTGCGCGTTCAGGGGAGTCAGAGGGAACGCGGTCGGGGTGGTGTTTTAGTGCTGCTCTGCGACATATGTAAGAGGCTGGGTAAAGTGGTTTGTGGGGAGGAGTGAAGTGTACTTCTTGTAGGCATCGCGGATTTGCTGCTGAGTCGCTTTCGAGTCGACTTCTAGAACCTTGTCTGTGGTATAGTATGAGCTTAGAGTCAAGTACCACGGACCTATGCGCGCCTACAATAGTCCGCTGGAGGAGCTGCTTGGGGGTTAGCTGAAGTTTGATTGCCAGGCTGCTATGTATCTCACCCATAATGCTGGCTTGTTTTAGAAGGCTTGATATGTAGCTGGAATAAAGGTTATGGTCGGATTGAGTAACAAGTGGGTGATCTAAGTAAGAAGCAAGCTTTGAGGTAAGTGAGGTGGCATGCAGATACGAAGAGTAGTGGGAAGGATCAGGGCCAGGTACGCGGCTCACAGCAATGACGTAGACGCGAGAGGTCCAGCCACAGTGGCTTCACGTCTGCACGTGAAAGCAACTTGTCCATGTGCTCGAAATGTGTCAAGGTTGACAGCCATACACGGCCTTGCCATAAGGTTCTAGAACTCCTAGGTTCGGATGTAAGATAAATTTAAATGTGCACATATAATGAATAGGTTGAGCCCGTCCTTGTATTGAATGAAAATGAAGCATACAAGTTGACCTGTTTAGGTTTGAGCGAGCGCAGGTGCCAATCTATAGATGTGTAGAATGAGATAGTAATTAATGTAAAGGCGATGCGGCGCACCTCCTAGCTAGGTATCATACAACAAACCTCACCTACAACCCCGTCGGTCTCATCACCCCTTCCTACTCTTCTTTGTCATATCCAACACCACACTTGGCTCCAAATCAAAAGTATCAACAAAAAAGAATTTCCCCAGTCACTTACGCACAGTCAAAGCAGGTTGCGAAACTTGGCCCATCTACCGCCTGAAGGTCGCACTCAAGCCCGAGAAAGCGTCGGGTGAATGTCGACCACCCATCAATCCCGAAAAGTCCACACTCTCGTTGCTAACATGCCTTACACCAGGTGTTTGTGCAGCGGATAGTGCTTGTCCTTGTGGTGCACCGGACATACCACCAAACGGGTTTGAGCGTCCAGGTGCTTGCGCAGCAGGAGTTGAAGCTTGCACAGCTGTCGGTTGAGCTTGCTGTTGTGGCGTTTGCTGAGGAGCTTGCTGAGGCTGATTGTATAGCGAGAGAATTGAAGCATTCTTGTCAAAGGGGTTAGAGCTTTGTTGTTGGTACAACTGCTGTTGGGTCTGGAAACTCTGCTGTTGAGTCTGGTAGGTTTGATGTGGATCCTGGGGTTGATAGCTTGTTTGTTGCGTCTGCCAGGGGTTCGCCGTCTGGGGAGTTGAAACCTGGTTATACTGTTGCTGTTGTTGTTGCTGCTGCTGTGACCAAGGGTTAGGCATTTGCTGCTGTGGAGGAGCTGACTGCGGTTGAGATGACTGCTGCAGTTGCTGCTGCTGGAATTGTTGTTGCTGTTGCGACCAAGGATTAGGCATCTGCTGTTGTGGAGTAGCGGACTGCGGCTGAGATGGCTGTTGCTGTTGCAATGTTGACTGTCCGAATGGATTTGAGCTCGCAAGATTGGTCGGTGTAAACATTTGGCTTTTGGACGATCTCAGGAAGGGATTTCCGGGACTTGAGGGATTGGACATAGATTGGTACTGCGGCTGTTGCGGAGCGAAGAAAGAACTGTATTGCTCGGGTATCTGCGGCATCGGCGGTGGAGTAAACGACTGGTTGTAGGGGTTTGTTTGAGGGAATGATGACGGTTGCGATTCACCGTAGCCTCCAGTTCGGTTTGGGAATAGGGGTTGCTGAGGTTGCTGAGGCTGTTGATTCGAGATTTGCATACCCTGGAAAGATTGTTCGAGATTTTGCTGCTGTTGATCCCATGGGTTTTGTTGATAGCCGAAGTTCTGTTGCTGCTGCGGTTGTTGCTGAGGGGCCTGTTGCTGAACATATCCTTGAGACGCTTGTTGTAAAAATGGGTTGTAGGAGCTTGACGGATAGGCTTGCTGTGGCGTCGGCCCTCCATAGGATGTTTGCTGGGTCTGGAGCGGAGCGAGCTGTGGTTGCTGCTGGGGAGCGTGAGTAGGCGCATCTAGCGCATCGAAAGGGTTTGTAGATGATGTGGTAGCGGGTGCGGTGCTCGGTGTGTCGAAGGAAATGCCATTGGAAGTAGGCTGCGTTGATGGTGTCGGTGTACTTCCCCTCGATCTGCCAGGGTCCTGCTCCCCCAATCTGATCAAAGCCTCGACTGCCCGGTCCAAATTTCCGTTCAGTCCCTTTAGTACCGTAGAATTGCGCTTATCGTCTGGAAAGCCCATATCCCGAAGCTGCGCTAGCTTCGAATCCATGCCGTCGCCCGAAGTGTGTATGTTGGAACCGAAGACCCTGGAAGGTTTGTTGATCCGTGGCGGCGATTGATCTTGTTGACTGAACCCACTAAGACCTGGTGATAGCGGAGGAGTCAGATTTCGAGGTGATGTTGCCGCCTTTCGCAACCCAAATCCAAAGCGACCAGTCGGCTTCGGTGGTAAGGGTGGTGGTCGGTCCTCAGAGCTCGTACTGCCCGTGTTCTGTCGCGTGCCCGGTCGTGAAGCGTCCAAGTATATCCTCTGCTCATATTTTGCCCGTATGTATCTTTCCATAGCACTGTCCACCTCGTCGATGTCGATGGGTATGGAGGGCTTGACGTTACGCGGGTTATACGTCTTGTTCGATTCGACATTACCAATGCGCTTCATGTTCTAGCCAGTTATCAGCAGGGCCTGAACCGCTGAGGTCTGACAGCTCTTACGTCTACTTGCGCATTGTCCCACTTATCCATACTCAAGGACTTGACCTTGGAGATGTGCGTCCCCAGCTTGCGATGCAGGGCTGCGCATCGCATGCACAGGAAGATGCCCAGCTACAACATACGTCAGTTTTGTGTTCATGGTCGACGGACGATCGGTTCTTAGGGAAGTATAGGTTCGTCGTGTGATATGGGAAGACTTACGCTCCAGCTCGCCCATCCTGTGTAGTATAGTTAGCATTTGGGGCTTTCCGAACGGCATGCGCCTACACGACTTACCTGGATTCCGCGCACCACAGTCTGCGCAAGTTCCATTGCCGGGAACTGTCTTGATGAGTTCCTGTAACGTACGCTCATTACGCGCTTGCTGGCGCTTGTTCAAGGCCGACGCCATCTTGTCTGGAAGGAGGAAGCGGTTCGGGCGGAGGTCGATGATCGGGGCGCGGCAGAACGTGCACGAGAGCAATACGTGGGGGAAAGGGGGCTTGAGAGACGGCAAGAGGGCGCATATGCAGGATTACCCAAGAAAGAATAATTCCATAGCAAAGCAAAACATGAGCACGGAAAGGGGACTTGGTAGGGCCCTTAGTTGACACACGCGATGACGAGTAATGCATCCGTTCCACATTCACACACATGGCAACCCGCAGAAGCTCCAGAACCCTGCGTTTCTGGGCTATATGCGGCATCATGCCCCTGTCTGAGCTTCGAACATTCCACCCGAAAGTCCATCGTCCCCCTACCAGCCTGTCGAGAGGGGACAGCTTACGACAGCGCCTGAACAACGTGCGCGCTCAGTGGCGCGACTCAGAGACGCTGCCGATCTGGTTTTTGAAGGGCCGAAACCGCCTCTTTCGCTGCCGGTCGGTCGGGCACAAGACGATTAAAGGCTGGCAGGCGTTGCAGTCGTCGTCACTACCTCAGACTCCGAGAGAAGAACCTCCCAGCAGACGCCGACCGAAGCTAGCTACATACTTCTTTGAGCACGCGGAAAAAAAGAGCATATTCAAACGCCTCAGTGAAGGGATGTATGGTCACGCAGGTGGCTTCAAGCAACATAGAAATCGAAGCAAAAGCCTAAAAGTGCCAGGTATTACTCTAGTGACGCAAATATGACAACTATAGAGATGATGAGCTCAGTATAGCCGTTGATTAATCGTCCATTTGTTATGATTGTGTGTAAAGAAGAGAAAGTGTGCCCGAGCTGCGACGAGAATTTCAGGTGGGCAGTGCCAAGAGCTGCTGACAAAGATGGGGTCCGAGCGGGATAATTTTCATGTAAAAACAAGCTCCGGCTCGCTCTTCTGCTCATCAACAACTTCGCGATGTACAGTTTGCGGCACGTGCTCCTACGCAGAATGATCAGTCTTTGTCGTTCTTCGAGTCGTCGCTGCTGTGCAGGTTGTATGCTACTACCCCACTATTGCCTGCTCCCTGGTTCAGCTCTTCATGGCCTGGAAGCAACATTTCTCTCTGTGGGAGACTGAAATTGGTTTTTAGCAGAGCCGTGTCTTCTCCACCCTACCCATGAACATCTCGTGGATGTGTAGGACTATAATTGGACATACATCTTTCTCCAGTTCACAATCTGGTGTGTATTGCTGTCGTGATGATCCGAGCCTTGGTGTGTCCACGATGCATTGCCTTGGGTTCGTACAAGTGCCAATGTAATAGGTTGAGACCATCAAAGAAATGGCAGCTCGAGCTGACCAGATTGTGGGCTTTGTAACAGCCCCTTGTACTTATACACCCGTCTTTGTGTGCGTTTCGTGCTTCGGCTACAGCAGGTCACTCAAAAAGCGGGTTAACGACAAGCCCAAAGTATCATCACGACAATAGAGACGTTGAATGCAAAATCAAGCTAGCCAACTAAGCTGAGCCAATGCATCCAAAGGCATCTACTTCCAAATATGAGTACTAATACATAAGCACGTTCCTGCGTTTCCAACATTCGAGCCGGCACTGCAGCTCATAGATGCGCCTTTGAAACCTCATTTCCTCGGAACCGCTTTGGCCAGATACCTTGCTTCCCCGGCGAGAGTATACCGTTAGGATCAACAGCATCTTTGATCGTCTCAACAAACCTCCGGTACGCGTGGTCGTTGAAGTCGTATAGTGAAGCGACACGATCTAGATCGAGGTTAGCAACTGTAGATTGGTGGTTATGACTAAGAAGACCCAGTACGTACCCATGGTGTTCACATGACTGCGATATTTGCTGTATCCTCTCTTCTTCCCCTCCTCGAACAAGTTATCGAAGATGCTTTGCACCGCTTTCCGATGCGTCGCGTTTGTTTTGTCAAACGTGAACATGTTGACGAAGATGACTAGATACAGGCGTCAAATGTCAGTGTATCTCATCATCTATCTGTTGAATAGGAAGAACTTACCATGACGCTCATGCATGAAGAAGTCACAGAACAAATCAAAGTTATCCGCTTCGCAGATCTTCTTCGCTGTCTTGACCCAGTCCAGAATCTCTTTCCCGTTGGAAGGGATGATTGGGCTGTAGTCGTAATGCGCACCGATACCACCTCCGGACTTCGGCAGGCGGAACTTTACCATAGGAAGTGACCAGAGAGTCGGTATGCCAACGAAGAAGCCACCATCCATCTCAGGAACAGATGCAGGATTTAGTGTCTCTCCGTCCGGTGCAGAAAATATCTTACCAGTCAACCGGCCCTTTGGCGCTTTCCTCTCGATGATCTTCTTCAACTCGTCGAAATGCGCTTGAATAACATCTCTCGCGCCGTATAGACCAAACTTAGCGTTCCAATAGCCCAGGTCGAATTGCTTCTGTAACTCCTTGACTCTCCAGTCCGGTATTGAGGTGTTGTGTGGCCAGAAGTCCTCCCGAGGGCCCATCATGCCTAGCCATTCCGTCACATTCGATACGTAGACTGTGTTCGGAAGCAGACCGTCACGTCGTAGTGGCCCGAATGTATCGACGATCGTCTCCACGTCTTCGAAATCAGGCATGTCGAAGGTGCAGGACATGAAAGCTTGCGGCGCGGGTGTAAGCCATATGCCGAGTTTGGTTACGATACCGAGGTTGGACTGCAGAAATAGACCTTCGATGCTGGGTCCAAATGTGAACTTTGAGAGATGCGCGGATGGCGAGTTGGAAACGGCGAATTGGCCTGTTCGTACGAGCTCACCGTTCGCCAACATGGCTTCAACCCCAGAGATGTGCTGATGATGCGTTGCTGTGGGCGTGAAGCCTGTACCACGATCAATGGTGTTGCCAATCACAGACCCCCATCCGAGCGATGGTACGGAAGGCCAAACATTGAGCTTGTTCTTGACACAGTAATCATAGAGTTCGGTGAAGGTAACACCAGGTTCGACAACAGCGTAGGCGTATTCGCCATTCACCTCGATGATCTTGTCCATGCGATGGAGATCGAGGGCTATGGAGCCAGTTACACGAGGAGCTGGTCCACCATATCTATTCGATCGTTAGATGATCAGATGAGATGCACGCTGAAGTCTACTGACCCAAGGTTTTGCCTCTTGAGAATGTCCACACCGGTATGCTATACTCGTTTGAAATCTTTAGTACTTCTCTCAACTCTTCCACGTTCTTTGGTCGTACGGCTGCACTCGGCATCCTACGTGTTCCCTCCGCCTCATGCAACTCATATGGGTCGATGTACTCCGTTAACGCATCACCTTGGTATACCTGCGCATCGCCAACAATACCCTTATATTTCCCGATCGCTGCATCAAATGCATCTCGGCTAACGCCAGGTGGCAGTACCGACTTTAGCGGAACGGTTATAGAATCTCTGAAGAGGTTGTAATGTGTGGATTGGTACTCCGGGTCGATGTAAGCTGGTGATGGCGTCATTGTGGACGATGATAGATGTGCGTTGCGAAAATGCGAGATGTATCTCTACAATGCCTTGTTGTTAATATATCCTGCAGGAACAGACCTCTTCGGCTAGGTGAAGACTAGGGTGCCGAAGCGCTAGCAGACATGTGTGAAGGTGTCTTTCCCCACATTGCGGAGAAAGACCCCACATCTACTCTTCTCCAACGTTTCGGCCCTTATCGTGCCGTTACTCCTCCCAATAATAATCTGGGGGTTTGAAGACGAGTACGTGTTCTACGATGTCTACAATGTGAGTCGTACGAGAGGTGATAATGATTGCTTTTGTCTTAGCCACGCCGTGCTCATACAGAGTGCTACAGTAGCATGATTCCTTAGGTTTAGCTGCACTGTGTCAATGGAGGATGCGAGAGACGAGACGTGAGATCATTTGTGAAAAGGTTCGTTGTATACTGGAGGAAGGACCAGCCGGCTTCACACGCTAACCGGCTCGCGATCCGCCACGCCACCTGCATGCCACGAACGACCCGTCCTAAAATACAACGAGTCTCCGCATGGAGTTTTGCGTGAGACCCAGCGTCGGTCAACTACACTTGATACGGTGGAATCGGATGATTCTAACATAAGAGCTTAGCCTTGGTCACCTTGTGAGCGCTGTAGATACGATATCCCTCGCTACATTATCCTAATGCTTAGTATTCGCGAAAACACCTGCGACCGATTCATCTTGAAGAAAAACCAGCCATACCGGTCAGGATCACATTTGAATCTACCATAATGACACACCACGCAAATGACATTATCTGTGTTTCACCATGTCAATCCTGTCTTCCTCTCCCACGTCGTCACAACAGGCGTACCCTTCAGCTCCGGGAACTTGGCTCTATGCGAGAAGGCCAAGCGACGCAGGACGCGTTCAAGTAAAGCACGTCTTGTCATCTCTGGATGCCTAGTCTTGTCGCAAAGACTGTCAATCTGCAAGCAGTCGATGTTGGCGGCACCCACAGATGCCTGGTTATACGTCAGTTCCGCTATGCATACTAGAAGAGATCGAAAGACGTACTTCAGAGATGCCTCGTCGTTGGAGAGCATATAAGATTTCCTCCCACATCTCAGATCCACTGAACTCGGACGCAGCGGACCAAGAGCCGAAGAGCAGACTAAGAACTGCTGAGACTGCCTGCATGATTGTGTTAGTGTTCAGAGCAAGATACAGTCCTCTGGAGGACACACCGGAACAGTATGAGCGAAGACGAAAGGCATAGCCTTCAGTTCAGGGAAAGCGCTCGGTTCCGCAATGACCCACGGAACGAGAGCCGCTTCGATGTCCTTCTTGATCCTCATGAAGCTGTAGTGATGACCGGGTCTCGGGAATGCATGGACGATAGCATCCTGGAGCTCAGATATTGTGCGAGTCTTGTTCATGCCTCCTAAGCCACTCACGACTATGCGCTGAGTCAAGTCAGCTGCAATCACGACAAATAGATGGCGGAGACTTACTTCTGCGGAGACGCGATGTTTGAGATTTCTCATAATCGTTTGTGTGATCCTGACAGAATCGTCCACGCATTCAGTTGCGTTCAGACTGTCCGATCCCCATAGCAGATTGAGTATGGGCATACCGAAAGCCTAAGAATATTCAGCAATGAGATCGGACTAATACACTACCGACGTACACTGTCAACGTTTCCACTACTTTGCAGATTTTGAGGGTTCTGCCCGTCCGCTGCTTCAGTGCTGGGATGTGGCCGACCGAACTCGCGTTCTTCCGTAGACAACTGGCGAAGCGCAGCTGTTGCTTCCGCAATGCGGGTGTTCGATGAGCCCTCTGCCACTCTGCTTGATCCTCTAGCAGTCTCGCGTTTGATAAGAGTTTCCTCATAATCATCTCTAACATTGTTCGCGCGTCCTTTTGATCTAATTGAATCACTTAGGAGTGTTGTCGTACTCTTTCCAGCCTTTCTACGCAGGTCGACTGGCGCTAGTGTGGCACGAGAGAGTTGTTGGTCAACGCTCGAAACAGCAACATCTTGTCGTGCTAGCATCTCGCGATCGCCGTTGAGGAGCTTTTGTAAGCTCTCAACCCACTTCTCGAACTCATTTTGAGGCATGCCATCGAGTAACGACTGCATCTCACATCGGATCTCTTTCCTCGATGCTTGCGATCCAAGTTTTCTTCTAGCAATGGGCAATGCATGATAGGCGAACAGATCGCTCGTGCGTGGGAAAGCTTCAGCCACATCGTCATCCGTGAGCTGTGTCGCATCAATATTCCATTGCCACTTGGAAGAGATCTTCTTATCCTTATGTTTCGAGGCGCGGTGTTCAATCGAAGTGGCTGGCAAATCGATCTCTATATTCGCGACTTCTGGAGAATCGTCTCTCACCGCAGTATGCTCACGCTTTGCTTTCTTAGACAGATCCTTGTGTCGCTTCTTTTTCTCTGATGGTGAATGCTTTTCATCAGAGACGTTGCCCGTACTCATATTTCCATCGCTGCCGGCCGATTCTTGTACATCGTCATTGTTCGCTAGGCATCCCATCGAATCCTTCAAAGCTTTTGCTTTGAATTGGAGCAGGCTCGTAATCGTGTGTCCCAGAATATCTTCTCCAAGATCATCCCCATGGAGCCTCACACTAGCTGCTAGCGTAGCTTGCATCGTTGATTCGACCTTGGCGGGTGTATCCAGATACTCAGCAAGCATACATGCTACACGCTCGGTCATCTCGGTACAGAAGATTTCTGACATCCTTCGTATGTTCACTTCCGGCGCCTTTTCCTCGCACATATGTCGCTCCAGTATCTGCGGCCCTAGCTGGTCCAAGAAGCCTTCAGGGAAGCATATTCGAACGAGTCCTTGTACTGCGTTCTTGGACAGATCGTTGCCGAGGTCCGTTGCAGACGAGATCACCTTCACACGGAATAGCCAATCTTCTCCGCTGGGTAAGATTGTCGACTGGCTTTGCTTCTGCACCAAATATGCATCTCTGGCGGATCCGGCGCGGGACGAGTGCGCATCGCGTTCGACGTGTTGTGAGCGATTCGAGCTACTGGCCGAACGTACGCGCGGTCTTTTCGAGGCTGTATCGCGAGCCGGTGATTGCGATTTCTGTTGAGCGTTAGTGCAACTGTAGCCGGTATATACCGACAGGTACTCACGCGTCGCTTCTTCGTCCTGCTCGCCATGATGTCAGTCCTGAAAAGTTAGTTGGTCACATGTGATAGAAGGTGTGAGCCAGTGGTAAGTAGTGGGTTAGCCCGAGACGAAAGAACAGGGCAGTTGCGACCGGACCACCGGTGAAAGTGAAAGAGAAACAGATGAGTGCATGTGGATATATACTCGCAAGGTGAGAGTACCCTTTCTGCATCGATGCATAACATCGCGATTCCTCCAGAGGCTTATGAACTGAAAATTGACAAGCAAGACTGGATACCTTAGGTGCATCGCGAATACTATTGTAAGCCTATATCGCACCCCTTCGAAGGTGGTTTCTCAGCAGGTCTATACCCCGAGCGGCAATACCTACGGAGCCTGCAATACGACCTCAAACTCAAAAGGTTCGCACATTAGACTATACTCGTCCAGTGTCCTCGGTCCACAGCTTCCACTGCCCAGTCCATGGTGTTCCGCATCTAATCTAAGCACAACTTCCTCCAGCTTTTTCTTCTTTAGCTCATGCGGGTGGTCCGCAGCCGCAACATCCTTCATCCTGTAATGGGTGACCTGAAAGTCAAACAGCTTCCTCTGTTCAGTCTTTTTATCCGCGAATTGAGCGAGCAGACCTGCGCCGCTACCATTTGTGAGGCTGAGATAACGAGTATCTGTGCGGTTTGACGATTCCTGAGGTACTTCGTAGTCCACCCAGAGTTCGTCGATGCTGGATGCTGTGTACTTGCCCACGGGTTGCGAGAGTTTGCTGTCGCGGTAGGATTCATCGAAACCGCGGCCGAACCACTCGACTTGTTGGAACTGCTTAGGTAGCTCCATAACAAGGCCGATGCGTGGGAGGGTACGAGGTAGGTTCTCACCCTTTGGTGTACCGGTGACATGCACAGACAGAGTACCACTGGCACTGAAAGTGTACGTAAGAACGCAGTCGATAGACCAAGAGAGAACTGGAGGAGCGACACGTTGATGTACGGTAATCTTGAGAGCTTCCGAGCCAGACTGTGACCATTCAACCTTGCGAGTAAAAGGCTTCGCGTGATGCAGTTGCTTGTCTTTCCAATCCCAACCGTCTTGTGGAATGTCATTATCAGTAGGCGCGCGGAAGATGTCGATTTCTGGTGCCTTGGAGAGAAGCTCGGTAGAACCTTGTACCCAGGAAGTGAGACTACCATGAAGAGTGTTAAACTCCCAAGTGGCTTGATCCGTCGTGATCTTGAGGGTGTTCCTGGACGGTGTCTCAACAGTGAATTGCTTGCCCGATGACTGAGGTCGCTTCAACGGTGTTACTGGCGTAACGGGTATCTGTGCTGTCGCGATCTCGAAACCTGCCTTGAGATATGGCGTAGCCTCCTTCAGCTGAAACGAGATGCTAAGCAAAACTTCCTCTTCTGATCCTTCGATCTTTGGAAGCTGTACATCAAAGGTCTGGCCAGGCGAAATACCAGAAGGAATTTCTAGGCTTCCCGATACACTTTCACTTCCAGATGCGGACGTTGATGTGTACTGACAGCTCAAGTGGTCGAGCGTGATGAAATCGTACCGGTTGATAAACGTAGCCTTCGAACTGTTCGATTCCAGAAGCTGCACAGGTTCGATAGCTTTCTTGTACTCAATCAAGCCTGCATTGGGCGAATGGTCGGAGTTGACAAGACCGTCCATGACGAACGTTGCATCGTGAACTTCTTCACCAAAGTCGCCACCATAGGCATAGAACTCTTCACCTGTCTGCTTGTCCTTGGTAAGAAGACCGTGATTCGCCCACTCCCATGCAAAACCTCCCTGCAGAGTTGGGTACTTATAGAAGGCGTCAACGTATTCTTTGATGTTACCGGGACCGTTACCCATGGCGTGGATCTAATATGGTCAGTCATTGTGCTAAAACTCGATAGAGTATAGCCTACATATTCGCAAAGAACCAGTGGCTTCTTCTTCTCCTTGTCTTCACCAAACTTGATGATCTCGTCGATTGGGGGATACATTCTGGAGTACATGTCCATGGTATCTGCGTAGATGTCCGCTTCGTAGTGGACAGGCCGGCTGCCGTCGTATTTTTTGATGTGTTCGTACATGGCCACGAAGTTGCGTCCCATGAAAGCTTCGTTACCGAGACTCCATATGATGACTGATGGATGCATCTGGTCCCGCTTGACGAGTGCCTCTGCACGGTCCACGTATGCGTGCGTCCAGGCTGGGTTGTTGGTTGTCCATTCTGCGGCCTTCGACCTAGTTAAAAGCTGGCGCTCGCGGAATGGTAGGTTGCGCTCTTCTTTCGATAACGCAGCATCAGCGATACTTTCAAAACCGTGGCACTCCAGGTCCGCTTCATCGATGACCCAGAAACCCATCTCGTCCGCAAGATCGTACAATCGTGGGTCGTTCAACTGATGAGAAGTACGGATAGCATTGATATTGTGGCGCTTCATGATCAGAAGGTCTTCCTTCATGAAATCATACGGCACCGCGCGACCACAAGTGGGGTGATGCTCATGACGGTTAACTCCGCGGAAGACAATTCTCTTGCCGTTGACTTTGATCAAGCCGTCCTTCATCTCGACCTGTCTAAAACCGATGCGTTGGGCGACAACTTGATCACCGGTAGAGACGACGAGATGATATAGGTTCGGCGATTCGGCAGTCCACTTTAAAGGATCCTTGACCTGAAAGCTGAGTTGAGTCACATCATCACTCTTGATGTCGGCTTCTGATGAGGCAACTTCCTGCTTCTTTGCATCCAAAAGCCTCGCTGTGAGCTTGCCAGGTCCGGTCGCGCTGACTTTGACTTTTAGCTCGGCGTCGGTGTAGGATGAATCCAAAATCGTCTGTGCAAAGACATTCTCGATGCGCGACGTCTTGGGGAAACCCACCAAGAAGACATCACGGAATCTGTAGTCATGAGTTTATGAGTCGTCTTGAGAACAGACTGTACTCACATGCCACTCAGCCACCACTGGTCTTGATCTTCAATATAAGTTCCATCGCAATGTTGATACACTCTAACGGCCAGAGTGTTTTCGGCATTGAGCTTGACAATCGAGGTAATGTCAAACTCATCCGGGTTTCTGCTACCCTGGGAATATCCGACTTCTTTCCCATTGATCCAGACATGGAAAGCAGCGTCAACACCTTCAAATCGGAGTCGAAGTTGACCGTCCTGCAATTCTTTCGGAATCTTGAACTTACGAACGTACGATCCAGTCTCATTCTCGGTAAACGGCACGTTGGGAGGATCGACTGGGATATGATAAATGACGTTCGTATACTGGGGGCCTTTGCCAAAGCCCTGCAACTGCCACATGCCTGGCACAGCAATGTCGCTCCATGATGATGTGTCGAATGTAGTCGACTCAAAGCCTTCAGGAGCTTCGAATGGTGAGAATGAATGCTGGAATTTCCACGTGCCGGAGAGGCTATGTGTCGTCGACTTGTTCACATCGGAACTAAGTGCATCGGCCTCGGACTTGTAGTTGTGAAAGTATGCGCGTGCAGGCAGCGTGTTCTTGTGAAGGATATCGAGGTTGTTCCAGTCTGGAACGCCCGCTGGATGTAGACCTGAAGCCATGATGGATGGACTGGAAGTTGATGGTAATCTCACAAACCGCTACTCTACATTCTCAGCCTTTGATACAATCGTTGTAGCCCCACTATACGGCCGTACGTAGCGCAGCTTCGACTGATTAGGGAAGCCGTCCGGTCATACATCGTGAGAGCCAAGGGAACCGTCTGCCCCCCAGGTGATATGAACTAGAAAACGTGACGGCAATAGACGGTGCGTGTTGCATGTGCAAGCGCGCATCGGGGTTTTGATGGGGCGACGTCCGGGCGCGAGCGGGGACCCTTGCCTGATCAACGGACGAGCTACTGCATTCGGCAGCCTCCTTCTCCACGAATCCATCCCCAGACCCCGCTGCCCAGCCCTACTACACCATATTGAATCTCGTCTGGTTCTTTACGATTCACTTGCACATCGGCCGGGTCATTGCTTGATTCATCTCCATCGTAAAGACTTCACGCGCGGCGCTCTAGAACTGGTACTCATTGGGAAGCCCGTCCGTCCGCCAAACTGTTTCTGGGCCTGGATCCGCCCCGTTAGAAGGCCCTATTACTTGGCTATGGTACGTTCGAGACGTAGCGAGCTTGGGAGTTGAAAATTTACCAGTTTTCCGTTGTTACTCCGCCGCTAATGCGGTGCTATTACCGCTCAACAAGCATACTTGGCGAATGGAGTGGCGCACTGGACGCCGGATCTCTGCATCCAGAGCAGAAACCATGCATCGGTCCAGGCAAGCAGGGCATGAACCTTGGTGCCATGGGGTTGCAAGCGCTACTTGTTTTGCGGAGAAGCCTGTACAATATAAAGCGACCCAGTATTCCAGAATCCTTGAGTATCGTTGCAAATCAGCCATCAAGTGGAGAGCAGTTCCATTTTTCTCCACAACTCCGATTCCTCTCCAGTCCTTGCCGGCTGCATATCCAAGATGGCGGAGAAGAAAGACGACATGGGCCCTGTTACGCACCAGCTGAGCCAATACGACAATGACATGAACAAGCACGTGAATGTCAAGGAGGCCAATGTAGCTTCAGTAGCTCTCGGTAAGTGGTCCATTATGAGGTTTCAGCAGATGGCAAGAGTGAGCGCTGACAGCACATAGCCGCTGCTATGGAGGCAGAGAAGCCGAAGCTATGGTCTCGAGGCATGATTCAGCTCTACATGATCATGGGCATTGGCTACCTCGTCTCTACGCTTAACGGTTTCGATAGCTCCCTTATGGGATCTATCAACGCGATGAAAGCCTATCAGAACACGTTTGATTTGACTGGTGAGGGATCCAGCACTGGCATCATCTTCATCATCTACAATCTTGGTCAAATCGCAGCCTTCCCATTGTAAGTTCGAGTGTATTAAAAGTACATGTATCCTCCGCGACTAACTTTGTTCAGCTGTGGATTCCTTGCTGATGGATATGGTCGCCGTGTCTGTATCGCTGTCGGCTGCGCACTCGTCCTCGTTGGAACCGCCGTCCAAGCTACGGCCAACGAGATGGGACACTTCAGTGCTGGTCGCTTCATCCTCGGATTTGGCGCATCCATCGCCTCTGCTGCTGGCCCCGCCTACACTGTTGAACTTGCACATCCTGCCTACCGTGGAACCATGGCCGGAATGTACAACAACTTCTGGTGGGTTGGCAACATTCTGGCTGGCTGGACTACGTATGGAACCAACCTTCACATGGGCAACTCTTCATGGGCATGGAGGATCCCCACTATTGTTCAGTGCATTCTGCCTGCTATCGTTATGTCCTTGATCATGTTCTTCCCGGAAACGCCTCGTTGGCTGCTAGCTCACGATCGCAGAGAAGAGGCTATCGCTATCATGGCAAAGTACCACGGAAACGGCAACCCCAACTCTCCTATCGTACAGCTCCAGCTCCACGAGATCACCGAGGACTTTGCTGTCACTCGCAACGACAACCCCTGGTGGGACTTCCGCGAGCTTGGAAACACCAAGGCAGCACGTTACCGATTGGCCATGGTCATTGCAATGGCCTTCTTCGGTCAATGGAGTGGTAACAACGTTGTCAGCTACTTTATGCCAGCCATGGTGAAAAGAGCTGGCATTACGGACCCCAACGAGCAACTGCTCATCAACGCAATTAACCCAATCTTCTCGATGCTTGCTGCCATCTATGGTGCTACCCTCCTCGACAAGCTTGGCCGCCGAAAGATGCTTATGGGTGGTCTCTGGGGCGGTCTCTTCGCCTACATTCTCCTCACAGCTTTCACCGCCACCGCCACCGCCACCGCCACGCCTAACAATAAACTCGCCTACGGCACCATTGTCTCCATCTACCTCTTCGGCATCTTCTTCGCCTGGGGATGGACCCCCCTACAAACCCTATACGCTGTCGAATGTCTCGAGAACCGCACTCGCGCAAAGGGATCCGGTCTCAACTTCCTCTTCTCAATATCGCCATGGTGGTCAACACCTACGGTATCTCGGTGGGAATTGAGAAGATTGATTGGAAGCTTTACCTCGTTTACATTGGGTGGATTTGCATTGAGATTGCTCTTATTTTCTTCTTCTTCGTTGAGACTGCCGGCAAGACCCTTGAAGAGCTCAAGGATATCTTTGAGGCGCCCAACCCGAGGAACGCTAGTTTGAAGAAGGCGAGGGTGGAGATTGATGAGAGTGGAAACATTCATAATGTCCAGGAGTAATGTACGATAGAGGGGTATGGTTAGAGTATGACGCTTTATGGTAGGATAAAGTTTTACATGAATATAGCGAGCGTTTGACACCTTGGGTCTTATTGAAACAGAGATGTCAACAATCAAGCCAGATCAAGCTCATTAATTAAACCAGCCAAATCTTTTCTATCAATGAAGCCAAGCTCAAGAATTTTTATCAAAACTTTTAATCAATCAAGCCAATTCACTCCGTTTTTTACTATCTTTACCCCATTAGGCTAGCGTATTATCTATATAGGAAGGTGGCCTTGCTCAAGCTCATCAAGTCAATTTACCCTTTATAAAAAAGCTATAAATTCAATTCAATCTAAAGCCTCTAGCTTGATTGGCTTGATTGTTGACATCTCTGTATCGAAAGAATCCAGCCGTCTCAATCATCAATGTTCCTTGCGTTATGACATCCTGCTGTTCTTCATTGCTCTCAATTAATACCTACAAAATCTCGAGCAGACACTCAAACGTCTTATCAGTGCAAACGTAGCTGTCAAAGCAATGTTCCAATCCTAAATCACCCTACACATATCCCCACTTATTCTCCACACCGCCTACAGACTGCAAGCCACCTACCTCACCGACTTACCCTGCCTTGTTCCATCAGACACCTGCCATGCAACGTCTAGTTTGCTTGTTCTTCCCAAACAGTCCTACTGGAACCCTTTTTGTCTTGCTGGGGACACAGACTCGCCGGCATCCGTATATGTAAGAAAGAGGGTCCGGTGAATTCACGTGATGCGTATCTGCATGCGGCCCTGGCGGTGTTTTCATGCAAGATATTACTTTTTGTGAAAACGTTGTTTTTCCTTCACTTGGTGTTCACCTGGCTAGAGTGCTGATCGTGGCCGTGGAGGGAGAGAAAAGTCGGAACGATGATTGGGAGTGGTTTCTGGGGAATATCGGACTGACACAGCGAGAGTTGAACAAGATAACCGGCCATATTGAACCGTTTTTGTTTTCCTTGCTTGCTTTTGTCGAGATATGCGGTGAAACATCAGTCCGGGTGTCGCATCAAGGAAGACGCATATACCTGCATTCTCTCTAAGCGATATAGACGATGCTCGTAAAGAGTAGGACCGAATTCTGCAAAACTTCAGGTTCAGCGGTTGGGGAACCGTAGTTCATGCAGACCCACTAGTAAGATATGAGCATATGAAACTTGGCAAGGTCGACCTAGTACGACAGTGGCGCTTTATTCGCGTTTTGTGTATGCATTACGTCCGAAAGCGTGCAACATGGGGAAAGATTGCTGCACTGAACTTTTTCGACATTCACGCGTTAGCTCCGTCTCATCTCCGCACTTTTACTTTGCCGTCAAGCCACCGCCCAGATCCCTCTACTTCTACCCAATGTCCATCTCATCCACTGCGGCAGCCGCCCTTTCTTTCCTAATTAAATCTTTCTTTGCTCTCCGCGCCGCTGCCCTAGACATGCCCTTGCCACTGCTAATCTTTCGGTATTCGTCTAGAGACATGCCTCTCCGCTCCGCAGCCGCGATCTGAGCCTGCAGTGTCTTGTCTTCCCACACGTCCATCTTGGGATTAGCCACTTTCCTTTCTTTGCGAGCTTGCATCCTGGCAAGATTTTGACGAGTGCGTTTGTCTAGATAGGTTTAGTATGGCGGCGAATGGCAAGGCTTGGTGAGACAACTCACTCATCTTCTTGCCCGCAGGCTCCGAATCAATTGCCATGGTTTGATCACCGTTCGGTTGCTGAGCCGAGCCTGCATATGATGTCAGATTCACTCACCCCAGTAGCATGTGCCAAAAGCAAGTACCCGCAGGATTCATGGACGTTGAATCAACAATTTCCCGACACGTGACATACCATTCTGCAGGTCGTCTTGAGGCGTCGAGAAGGCGTCGCCCAAGACGTCGACTAACTCATCGGCCAACGCGCCCATCTTTCGTCGGTCCTTTTGTTTTTTCTTTTCGACTTGGTCGCAGGTGTCAGGCCGTTTGCTCGCCTCGGGGAGGCGCTTCGCTGGCTCGTCTGTGATTGGTCGCTATCGCTCGCATCTGAAAATTGCTGCTCTTCCCCCAATCTAAATCCTGTGTTTGCAACAGTTGATGTGTTCGCAGATGCTGCAGCTGCTTCGGGCAAGGCGGGCGCCATTGTGCTAGGTAAAGATGGCCGAAAAGAGGATAATGCAGATGCAAAGTTGGTTGCAATTCAGAAAAGGCAAGAGGCAAAGGTTCGGCAGAAGGTTTATCCGGCGCATGTGATTTGTCCGTCGGTGTGTATTATCGAGTACCAATGCTGTGTCGCGTCATGCGCTCTATCATCTACCTCAACTTCCGCCTTTTGAGGAATATACTGTAAACATGCTATGCATAATGCCGCCCTAAACGCGATTGAAAAGAATGTGTGAATGCAAAGGATTGACGGGCCGAAAGTGTGAGAGATAATGGCCCCGCAGTGGGGGGATGGGAAGAGAAGAAGATGTGATTAAGGAGATTCGTGAGTCGTGAATGCATGTCCAAGCACCCGTTCCGGCGGCCGACCAGGCCAGTCCTATGCGCCCAACTCCAATGCCAAGCCCTGTCTAGCTCTTGATACCAACTCCAGCCCAAGCAAATATGTGATGCGACGCTATTCGTCATCGTCAACAAAGAATCCCCAGAAGAGGACTTCCTCATTTTCCCGTCCCCGCAGACGGCCTCCGTAGACATCTGCGCACATCTCGATGGGCACCTCTAGTTTAATGCAGCCGTTGCCGAGGAAGGTGAAGAGTAGCCACGAGTCGTACTCGGGGAAGGTGCCCTCCTCGTCAAACTTCCTGCTACGTATGCCGCGATTCCGTAGCGAGGGTGTTGTAGGGAGGCGGAAAGTGTGGTAGGGCAGCGTCTCCTCTGAGTCGGCGACGAAGAAGGAGTCGTTGAGAGCGAGTTCGACGGTGACGTGAGGCGATGGGGGGTGTTGTTGCGAGGGCGTCTCGTGGTGGCTCAGGTTGTCCTTGTGGAAGCGCAGGGTGCCGAAGCGCAGGTCGGTGGGCTGACCGAGAAGGTCGAACAGCTCAGTGGAGTAGAGGCGGAAGTAGCCATTGTGCAGGCTGCCCAAGTCGCTCTCGTCATCTTGGACTTGTCCGTTGAGCGAGAGACTCTGCAGCTGGTCTTCCACACGCTTTCCCTCGAGCTCGGCCGCATCGAGCGACCGGCGAATGTACTTGGGTGTGTATTGGTTGCTAAGGTCTGAGATGGCCAGCCGGCAGGCCTCACGACGGACTTCATCGCGCCGGCTACTACTTTTCACAGATATCACGTCGCTGTGGCCGTGGTCCTCTAGCGACCGCAGCAGGCCAGTCTCGAAGCTCTTGACGAGCTCCTCGAACTCGCGCATCACCCGAGCGAGGGGAGACGAGTCTTGTGCGGAGGATTTGGCGTCGCGGGAGACTGCATTGCTCTCGAGTACGGCCATTGGGGCAGGCCCTCAGCCAGTACGTGGCGTGGTCGCAGGGAGGAAGCGTGTTGGGCAGGGCGGCAGTTGCTGGACGCGGTCTTTGGGCCTTGGGCGGAGAGGGGTGTGGGTGTGCAGCGCTCTCGGCTGGTGCAGCTCCGGCTGGCACAGCAGTCGAGGCAATTGATTGTCTTGCGAGTAGTCGTCGTCGTCTTGGGAGTTTGGGGTTCGGCCGTTAGTCGTGAGGAAAAGTCGCAAAACAACAACAACAACGACCAGGTGTCTTCGCTACCTCTCTAGTGCATCAGGAGACAAAGAAGGTCGGAACCTCGAGGGAGGGACCGAAGTTTTGCTCGCGGGTCGAAGGCCGCCAAGAGTGCTGGGTAGATGCTTCCCTCTTCCAGCCCACCGGCGAGCGCTACTGCATCCCCGGCCAATGAGGGCGAGGCTGCCACTCCACGGCGATGCGCTGCGAAGGGGGCTTTGGTGTGCGACTCCCCTGGACTGTACGCAATACTGGGGCTCCAGCGGTTAAACGTCGCCTACGACAAAGGCGCGAGCGCTAACTCTTGCTTCTGCTCAACAGTCGCTGTGTGGGCGCCGCTTGTAGCAGACTGACCCAGGCGTCGCTCGCTCAGTTGATGCAGCTGGCGAACCGTTGTGTCGGTAACCAGTAAGAAGCCGCTGAGAACCGGCCCGGTTATTAACTGGGGCGGGCCGGTGATTTCGAGACACAGAGCTGCGATGGGCAATTCACTAGCCTCCAGACGAAGACAACCTCAGCGGCTGGCAAGCCCAGAGCCTGCACGGCCTGACATGACCAGGGCCAGCCTTCGCCGTCGGCATGTCTATCGCCGTCCACGCCGCCCATCAGTTCAGTAAGACGTGCATCCATCCCACGCGACGTCGCTTCCTGCTTTCTGGTCTCACTTGTCGTTGTTCCTCATCCGGCCGAACGCGCCTGTCTGCTCTGGCCTACGTGCCTGCCACACACCCTCGCACCGTTGCATCGCCACTTCCTTGACTATCTCCCAGCCCAGCCTCTTCTGATCAGCGCTTCGTTCCCTCCTCTTGGCTTACCAGCTCGTATTGATGACTGTTGTCCAGTAGGCCTGTTCGTCGGCCTGCTTTCCTCGTGCGAACCACCATGTCTACAATCCTCACAAGGCGTAATCCCACCAGGATAGCCTAGCCCCTTCCTCGGCTTTGCGCACGCATGTCGGCAGTTTGTACCTGCTTCGCGACATGTAATGCAATTTGAGGTGATGTCCATGTGCAAACTCACTCCTGCCTTTTGCAGCCTGCAAGTCTCCGCAATGTGCCGCCAACCACGCACTACGTCACTGCTGACAGTATTCAAACGACCACTATACACAGATATAGTCGTGGCGGTGAAGCGTTTGCCCTCATCCCACGGCTGATGATTTCTCGGAAATATACAATTGCAAATCTCCATGCACATCGACGCATCCATCTCTTGCTGAGCATGGGCACACGACTAACATCGCCGCTTACCGTCAGATGGGGCCTCCAGACTGTGAACTCAGTCCATCTCCCTGGTCCCAGTCGTTCGTCTTGGCTCTGCGGGCCTGCTTCGGCTTCTTACGTTATAACATCGGCCTTCAGCCTTCACGGCTGAACCGATGCATCCGTGACGACACTCGCTGCTCCATCTGATAACCTGATAAGCTGAACGTCTATGAGATATTCAATCTCATATCTATGAGAAATCAGCAATCAGGCGTGTCATAGCACACACAGGACTTTAGCGTGTATTTCATATCAGTCAACAACATGGGCGAGGCGTCCTCAATGATGAACAACGTATAAGTTGTCGAGGGAGTTGCAACAGTATGAATGTACCATTGCCCTGAGGCCATAGCAAGCTGAAGGTAGACATTTGTTCCATCGTGTCGGACAACTACCGCGCGTACAACCACAGCCATCCGCACTGGGACTGGTGCTGACCGAGCGACGAATTTAGTCAGTACAGAGCAGACCACGGCGACTACAACAACAACAACAACAACAATATTCACATCTCAGCGTCGTCAATAGAATCTATTGTTAACGCGTCCTCTCCCTATTGCAAGCCCAACATACCTTCACTCAACGACGCCGTCATGTCCACCCTATCCACTGTTTCAACATCCACTCTGTCCCCACCTCCAGAATTGTCTATCTCGTTCAAGCTAGCCACCGATGCGTCAGGTGCCGAATCCGATTGTAACAACAGATCAGACGATATCCGCGAGCCACTGGAGAAGGCCATGAACCTTATCACCACGAACAGTCCAGGGGTGCTCGCTATGATTCTGCACCACGACTACTTCAAGCCGCTTTGAGTAGTTCAAGAGATCCTACTCGCAAGCCATATAGACGTCTTATGCAGTCACGCCTCCGTTGGCAATGTGTGGGTATCGTGGAAAGCTATGTGCAAGGTCGCCAGGCATTCCGGAGACGCTCTCGAACTGCACAACGTACCTACGGTAGCAAAGCTATTATTCCAAGAGTATGGTTTAAATTACCGTCGCAGCTTGCAAACCACAATATCCATGTTCAGCGGTGCGTATTGCCATGATCCTCGGGATAGGATCTACGGTCTCATGGACTCATCATTGAAGAGGAACGCCTTGTTGTCGACTACCGAAATTTGGTACATGAGGTTTACTCAGAACTGGTGGTGATTCTCTACAAGGCTCATCGATGCCACCACGCAATTAAGGAAGAGAATGAGATGCCACATTCCTGTGGGCTCAAGTCACCAGTCACCAACACCGACCCCAATACACCATTCTGTCCCAACAGACCGATCAATATCGGACTACTGTTAGTTCTGGGCGATAGACTGCAAGTGTCAAATGGCCATTTGCAGAGTCTCTTAGCTCTACTAGCACGTATGAGGAAGCTGAAGAGAGCTTATGCATTAAATTTCTATGGCTGCCTTGATATAGTCACGTTGGGGTCTACTCCTGCAACCATGACGCCCAAGGGTGGATCAGATGATCGAACTGGAAGTCTTGAGGTTTTCGCATGCCAGCCGGAAAATGGAGGCTATTGGTGGGTCGCCATCCCGGGTAGATTGTGGCGATGTCGTCATCCGCTCCTGGCGGAACAGTCGTGATTTTACGAATGCGTCTTTGAATTGACGCGCAAGGGTCGCTTCATATCGGAATATGGCCCTTTTCAAAAGTTGGAGGAGCGGTTGAAACATTCCGCGTACCGGAGTTACGAACGACAAAGAAACAAATATGTCATTGTGCGTAACATTGATGGAGTACCTCCCTGAAGCTCCGGAACAGACCTGATCTCAGTAAGGGATGAATTGATTTCTTACATAGTATAGCGACTATGGCATTGGAAAGTTTCCCGAACCAGGACGGAGTGACGGAAACAATAAACTACAGGCTGTATGGGACTGGAAGTACCGCGTACAGGATATACGGGTTGATGAAGTCGAATTCCGCCAGCTCAATTGGTCTGGTCGGATGATCGCGGCAACACACGGGAAGTGGAACGATCGACTTTGTTTTCCCGCTGGGCTAGCTGCTTCGTGTCGACTTCGAAGCGACTACTTTCTGATACGTACATGTCTACAAACCCGCACTGAAGCTGGGTTAACACACGCGGCACAAAACTGCACTAGGAAGCAACTGAGTACATACTAGCCACACTAGGGTCGCTCATTAACTTGGAATAGCAGGTACGAGCATGTAGCTTCTCAGCCATTGTTGCCCGTTGCAACGCCCCAGAAATACGCCGCCCAAGAACCCACGACCAAGAACAATAGCGCAACAAACAACGACATGCTAATCTTTCTATTCCTCCGGCCAGCAGATCCGGACCCAAACTCCTCCCTCCGTACGTTGATGATCTCGCCCTTTGCAATGCGCTGGCGCCTTGTCCACTGGAGTTGAGCGAGGTCGCTCGTCCAAAAGCAGCCAACAAACATACTTGCGGCTACCGCAACCGAACAAGCAGAAAGAACAACGTATACGACGACGACATTGTCATAGGAGTTGTCGTCACGATCCTGAATAACTCCCGTGATGATACGGATGATGATGGACATGGCATTGTTGACGGCGATCTTGACGGCATATCCAGAACCGAAGACTTCTTGGTACCACATGGAAGTGCGAATCGAGTCGATGATGACGGTTGGACCGAACATAGACGCGACACCGTAGATGCCGAACGAGGCTGCGGTGCCAGCAAACGTCGGACCCCATGTGGCCAGACACATGGACAGCAACATGCCCAAGCCACACACTAGCATCAGGGTGATACGGTTGCCCAGAACGTCTACGAAGACGCCAATAATCGGAACGAGAAAGAAGCCTAGGTATTGCGCCAGGGAAGAGTACCACCCCGCCTTGACAGCATCCATATCGAAGCGCTGCTCAGCGAATTCTGTTGCGTTCTGAGCGAAGACGGACGCAGTACTGGTCTGAAAGAGGGAGAATGCAACGATACTCCAGAAAGTCCATGGAAGCCGCAGTACTTTCCCAAACTCGAACTTCTTGTTGCTTTCTGTGAGCTTCTCGCCGGTCGCGGGGTCGGCTGTACCAGTGTATTTCTTGCCGCACCATCGTGTAAAGAACCAGTATAGGAGGGTGGTAACGTTGGTGAAGAGATTCATAAAGACGGCGACCCAGTATACCCAGCTAAAGTCGCCCGTATTCTTTGCGATGACGTTTGCAGTAGCTTTGCCGACGAAAGATCCGATCTTACCAATGCCGAGTTCGAAACCTAGGGTTGATGCGAAGCCGTTGGATGGCGCGAACCAGGAGCTGAACACTTTGTATTGCGCGACCTGTGTGGCGATGTCGCCAAATGCCTGAACAATGGATCCAAATATCATGAACTTGTACGATCGTACGGTAGTAGCGGCTGCAATGAAAATGGCGCCTATGCTGTAAATAGCATTACCCCAGAGCATGGCACCTATTGAGATTGTACAGTCAGCGTCATGACATGATTGGAAGGTAGAGGAGAGACGAACTTGCACCACCAATCCTATCGGTAACAAGGCCGCTCACGAGGATCAGAGCTGTTTTCATAAAGTCCTCGCTAGCTTCCAGCACGGAGTATTGCGCATTGTTGATATGTAGTTCCTTTTCCATGTCAGTCGATGTACCTGTAGCGAGAAGTTCATGCTGTTCATACCTTCTTCACCGTACTCTTCATCGCGCCAGTGACACCACTACTCCAGTGCGAACCAAACCCAGTTGCCGTCACTAAGAGAATAGCAATGAGCTTCATCTTCAGCGGGATCGCTGAGCCCCGATCGCTGCCATCACGCTCACCGGTCGATGCCTCACTTGAAGCTACGACCACATCTCCAGCCTTCTTTTCGTATAAAGAAGGCATCTGTCCATCGTTGTCTGTGGTGAGGTCGTGAGGACGCTCAGAAGGGGACCGTGCGTCCATCGTTTCTGGTTACTGGAAGCAAGAGATGATCTGATAAAATAAGAAATGTCCCTGCATTTTGAGCGGCGCCCATCTTTCATTTATTACTGCCGAACGAGAACGAAAATCTCGTGCGTCTCCGCCGATAGTTCTAAATCAGGTTGTTTGCGGGCCTTTTACGAGGTAGGATCTCTTGTAGGCTGTCTCCACCACTTGAGACTGTGCGCTGCGCACGCGTTGCGACTCTGATACCACCGGAAGAATACCTAGTTTGGTAGATACGATACCACCTGCTATCAAGTTCTGCAAACCCATATTGACTTGTCATATTTTTTCCTATTGCATTGTTCATTTTTAGTACTGTAAATGTGCCGTTTCGCAAGATTCGCAGAGTCATGTTGTTCTCTGGCGTGTCCGACTGCGGTAGAAGTCCGATAAACGGCTCGCATCGCCAGTCCCAAAATGGCAAGGCGCGAAGAAGAGAATTTTTATCAGATCATCTTATCAGATTTAAGATGAAATCTAGCCACCCAGGGAATCCAGGCTACTGATAATGGATAGACGGAAGAAGGTTCACACGACCGTTGAAACATTCGTAGCCATCTCCATCCACGTCACCATGGACGTAGTTGCGGAAAATTTCGACGCGTCCAAGCACGAACATACCTCAAACTCCACGCGTGGTAGCTGCGCAGAGGCCTGGGACTAATTCGGCATCCCTCTCACACCAAATCCTTCCATTGCACGGATATCCCCCTGATGGCTCCTGAGAACTTTCTGGCCCTGCGCGGCCAGGTAGATGTGCGACCTACAGCGCCAGTTGTTTGAACATATGGAGAAAATATGACTGCACATGTGCAAAATGCTGGTCAGGATATGTATGTTTGATGGATGGTGTGAGTGAGTGGTTTGATTTAGGCTTGTGATAGTGAAGAATAGCATTAGGGAGATGCTGGTCCAGAGGATCTGAGCTATCATGAGTAGTATGCGTACACCATGCGCCCGCCGCGCTTGAATCCTCACTGTTCATGGCGAAGTGCGGTCTTGTACGATGCTTTGGTCTCTTTCGTAGAGTTTTGGGGTGTGTGCGATGGACTTTTGAAATTCGAGGAGGAGCAATTTAGGAAGGCATACCTATGGATCATGGTTACTCATTCTGGTCGGACTTGGTACGCTAAGAATCATAGACCAAAGAGAGGAGGCAGGATTGTAAAGACTTGCTTCTGATTGGAGTTTCTATGAATACCCCCAAAAGCTTCATAGGCTCGGATGCCTTCGTAATCCTGGTATACGACCTTCCGCGCCAAACGCCTTACCAATGCCGAGGGTCAAAATGCTCAAAGTTTTTCCAGGCATTATGGAGACGATAAAGGCGAACTTACGCTCACATATGACAACGTGTCCACTTGTCACCACCTGGTTGTACCTCCTCCAACCCAGTCTAATCCAAATCCCACAAGTGATGAGCCCGTAGCCCCTAACGTGATTCATGCACACTGCAGTCTCCAACAAGAACACCCTAAGGTTCGCCTCTCTGCTTCTTCTCGATCTCGTCCTTCAGACTAATGAGATCTTGCTCTGTCGCCTCGAATTCCAGACCCTGCTTGACCCATTGTGCCGCTTCGTCTAGTCTGCCCATCTCGAGCAGGCACTTGCCCCGCCTCCACCAGGCCTTCGCGTTGCCCACCTTCCTCATCTCTACACTGGCCTCTGCGTCCACAGCGCCCTCTGCCCAGTTCTTAAGTGCCATGTTCGCCTGTGCGCGGTTGCTCAGCAGCCCAGAGACCTCTTCCCTTACCAGACCTGAAGGCTCCCATGCCGGACGAGCGAGCGCCATATCGATCGCGAGGGTGTAAAGCTTGCCCGCCTCCTCAGGCTTTCCTTTCCTGAACTCGGCGTTTCCGGACTCGCGCAGTTTGTTGATTTGGGCAGA